TTCTGGGAACCCAAGAGGAAAGCGAATTTTGGGAATAATGAGGGCAGCAAATGTATAGATGTGCTTTACACAATTGATCTATGTATTGTGATGAACTGTATGAGCCCCAATAAATTGATTTTTTTTAAAAAGGAAGACTCGAGGGGATATTTTTAGCTTCAGGTTACAAATGAGCTCAGAGCCAGAATTTTAGGTTTTCACCCGTTCTCCAGGGCACTGTAAAGTCTTTAGTGCATGACATGACATTTGAGATTTGGTTCTGCATTTCCCTATTTTCACCACAGTTCTTCTATGGCATTGTTGGTCAAACTAGTCAGTAATGTTAGCTGGGTACCACCTAGATCTTCTGGTCTCATGGCAAAGGAGGCAGATATTCATGCAGGCAATTAGCCATATATTTTTAACTGTTCTCTTTCCGCTTCTGCTCCCAGTGAAGGGAAACCAATCGCTCCACCTTGGACTCTGCAGCTATGTAAGATTCCATGCACTAGTCATATTCTTTATTAATCTCTCCTGCTTTACCAGGTAATTAAGACAATACATTAAATACTCTGCCACTTAAAAATTCTTTACTTTTACACAGTGCTTTAATGTATACACTTTCCTAATGGGTGGCTCATTCTCATCTGCCCAAAAAAGAATGAAATGCAACTTATGAACTTTACACTAGCATAATAAAACCTATGTGATACTAACCAGGTTGTCCCTGCTGGTGTAATGCACCATCCAGCCTTCCTTCACCATTGTGCTGCTCTTCCTTTTTGTGTGCTTGATAGACTGTACAACTCTCATTAGTGGAATATTATTGCTTGTTGATGGACTGAAAATAACATTTTTAATTAATGGTAAATATATCATTTTTTTAAAAAATCACATGACTACTGTGGACACACCGAGTGTTTTTAAAAGAACTAAACAAATATTTTTAAAATTCAGGAAGAAAATGGCTTAAAAGAAAATAAATTAAAAATTAAATGAATTACTATAACACAATACACAGTTGACTTACAAAAGAATAGCACAATATTACGGTTTCTCATTAGTTGCCATGTATTTCCAGAAGGGCACAAAAAACTGAGAAAAATAAGATGAGTAACAGAGCAGGAAGACTCCCTCACAACTAGATTTTGGGGCTGGGAGAGAGGCTCATTTGAGATTGCTGTTGAGTTGTATTCCTGTCCTACATAGCATGATACACGAGTGCAGTCATGACAAAGTAAAGGGCAGGTATACATACACTCAAATGCCAAACCCACTCAAATGCACAGTCCAAATGCCAAAGCCACTCATTTATGTTTTCTGGGAAAAGTAATTCCAATATAAGATATTTAATGGAAAAGTATTTATAGTTACTAAGAAAATAAAAATAGGATACTTAATGGAAAAAGATTTATAGTTACTGAGAAAACAAAAATAGTATTCCAGTGAATCATAGCAGATCTGTTCTCATGAAGATTTACAAAAATCAAAACCTAAACCCAACTCGTGCTGAATCAATTTCAACCCGTGCACTCAGAAAACCCTATGAGGACGTTCTACCCTGATACAGGGCTAGTAAAGAGTGGAAAATCAACTTGACAGCACCGAACAGCTGTTACTGCAGGCCACTGAGTGGATTCTGACTCAGAGCAAGGCTGTTACAGAACAGACCTGACCTACAGGGTGTCCTGGGCTTACCAGCTCTTTTCTTCCACAGAGAAATGGTGGGCTCAAATCACTAATGGCTCAGGTAATAGTTATTTATCTACTCTGCCTCCAGAAGGATATTTAAGATAGTTTTCTTTTTTGTGTGTGCATAAAATCGGTTTATTGCTACTACAGCAAAAAAAGATATACCATTTTAAGATAGTTTTCCAGTGCAATAGAATTTTTACAGAGTGGCAACATTTAAATTTTTGTGTCAACATGAAAACTATTCTGACATCTTCAGTCAGAGCAACATTCTCAGGAATATATTCTACCTGCTATTTCTACCACCAGATAATCTGCCAGTGTAAAGAAACTGGTTGCTTTAACCATGGTTCCAAATTGTCACCTTGTGGTAGCGGCTCCACAATTAGGTAGTATATGGGAACTATAATTAAATAAAGTATTTTTCTTTTTAAAGAGCTCTCTTATCTTCACATTTTGAGCAGATGGCAAGAGTGGTATAATTTATTTCACAAATTGTGCTGTGCATGTTAAGGAATTAGCTACTTGTAGAGACAGCCTTCTTGTTTCTTAATGGAACTCCTGGATGGGCTTTATATTTGGAAGCTCACAACACGTACACACGAGTTACCTGATTGTTTTAACAGTTTCTTCATCTCTTTCCACATCAAGATCAGATGGATCCAGGAAGAACATTTTGTCTTCTGGAGGAGAAGGTTCTTCCGTGTCATCCAGGCCCCTACTGCCATCACTATTTATGTCACTGCTGTCAATGTCCATTGGTATATCTGATTCAGTTCCCAGACTAGAAGGTTCTGGCAAAGTGTAAAGTAAATTTCAGAGTTTATATTAATGGAATAGCAATATTTCTAAAAGGGGATGTCTTTTAAATATGAAAGTTTTATAATTCTTAAAGCATCTTCATGATTCAGGACAAGAAAGTATTTCTTATAAAATACAGAATACATAAATCAGAATTTTAAATTTCTATAGCACAAAAGAATTGCTGTATAAACTAAGTTAAAAGATAAGCCACCCTTTTATTAATGGTTGCCTGCCTTTCAGTCAGGGTGTGAAGATACTTCTGTGTGGGAAAAATAAGTCCACTCAACAAATTATTCCGGGGTAACTGGCTATCCATATGGAAAAGAAGAAGTTTGGATCTCTTTCCATAAGTCCAAGGAAGTTCATTATATATATATATATAAATCAAAGACCCATATAGCAGCTAACCGTATCAGAAGACCCAAAACAATCATATCAATGGGATCAGAGTGGAGACCAAAAGCGCATCTATAGACAATTGGACATCCTCTCACAGAAGGGTCGCAAGGAAGGGATGAGTTAGACAGGGTGCAGTATAGCACTGAAGAAACACACAACACTCTACCCCCACAATCATGACCCCAGTTCCTCCTTACAAATTCAGCTAGACTGGAGCATATACACTGGTACAGATAAGAGCTCTAGACACACAGAATCCAGGACAGAAAACCCTCAGGAATAGTAATAGGAATAACAATACCATGAGGGTAGGAGGAAGGTGGGGGGAGAGAAGGGGACGAAAAGGAGAACCAATTGTAATGACTGATATATAACACCACCACCGCCCACCCACAGGGGATGAACAACAGAAACATGGGTGAAGGGAGACAGCGGAGAGTGTAAGATATGAAAATAATAATAATGTATAATGTATCAAGGGTTCATGAGGGTGGGAGAGGAGGGGAGGGAGGAAAAAAAGGAAGAGCTGATATCAAGGGCTCAAGTACAAAGCAAATGTTTTGAAAATGATGATGGCAACATATGTAAAAATGTGCTTGATACAATTGATATACTGTTATAAGAGCTATAAGAGCCACCAATAAAATGGTTAATTTTTAAAAAAAAGTTAGAAGTATAAAACCTTTAGAAGGAAATATGGACATATATCTTTGTGACCTTAAGTCAGGCAAAGTCTTTTAAAATACAACACCAAAAGCATGTAATAAAAGAAAAATAAAGAAATTTGGCTTTTTGTCACACTAATATTTTATGCTTCAAAGGAAGCTTTAAGAAAATTGAAAGATACCCCACAGACTGGGAGAAAAATACTTGCAAATCATATACCAGATAAGGGATTTATATCCAGAATATTTACAGAAATCTGTAATGATGCAAGAATTTTTAAAATGCCCCAATTTACACTGGGCAAAGGGTCTGAATAGTTATTTCTCCAAAGAAGATACAGTATATGCATGTCTAATGACCACATAAAAATATATGCAACATCATTAGCTATCATGGAAATGCAAATCAAAATCACAATGATATTCCTCTTCACAATGACTAGGATGGCTATGATAAAAAACTTGACAATAACAAGTATTGGTTACATGAAATCCCTACAGAATACTTGTGGGAATGCAAAATGCAGCATCTGCTTTGCAAAACACATTGGCAGTTCTTCAAAATGTGAAACAGAGTCATCATATGAGCCAGCAATTCCACTCCTGTGCTATATATTTAAGAAAATGAAAATATATATCAAGACAAAACTTATATGCGAGTATTCATAGTACTATTTTTCACAATAGCCCCCATATAGAAACAACTCAATATCCATCAATTGATAGAATGGACAAACAAAATATGGCATATATCTAAACATAGGAATAGAGTTTGATATAAAATAATGAAGTATTTATACATGTTGCAGTATGAGTGAACCTTGAAACCAGTCATAAAATCCCACATATTGTGAAATATTATTTCTATAAAGTGTTTAGACAGGCAAATCCACAGGGGATGAAAGATTGGGAATTGGGGAGTGACTGTTCATGAGTATGGAGCTTCTTTATGGGGTGATAAAAATATTCTAAAATTAGTGTTGGTAGCTACAGAACTTTGTGAGTACACTAAATGACTGAACTGTAAATTGCACTTCAAAACTGTCACACACCCACACAAAAGATAAGCTATTGATGGTAGAAGATATTTGTAACATAAAGTGACAATAGATTAGTATGCTATACACTTTTTAACTCTTGCAAACCACTAACAATTAAATAAAAAAATTGGATAAAGCATATGAACAAGCTATTTAAAAAAGTGAAGAAGCCCAAGTAATGAGTAAACATTGCTAAGACACTCAAACAACCAGAGGCATGCACATTAAAAGAAAGAGAAGTTGTACTCATGCCCACTGTATAAAAGGTATGGCACCACCTTGGTGGTACCAACCGGAAGGCCAGCTGTTTGAACCCATCAGTTGCTCCTCAGGAGAAAGGTGTGGCAGTCTGCTTTCATAAAGATGAAAGTCTTGGAAATGCTATGGCACAATTCTACTCTCTTCTATAGGGTTGCTGTGCATTGGAACTGATGCAATCAAAGTGGAATTAAGTGGAATAACCGTACTAGAAGAAATTATTTTAGGTTAAAGTGTTAATATTTGTTGAGTATAAGACAGTACCTAGCATACAGCAAGCACCCAATAAATGGAAAAACTAGAATATAGGTAACAGCTTTAAAATAAGTCCTTTCATCTCAAAAGAACATATGCATCACCACTAGCTATATATTAGCATAGAGCAAGACTACAAAGTTGTAGATAGCTAGAGGAAAGATTAGAAAGTACAATTAATTGTATAAAATAATTATCTCATTATAGTAATATGTGTGTGTGTGTGTGTGTGTGTGTGTTCGTCTGGGTACATTAGAGAAACAAATCCATAGAAACTCATATGTATAAGAGGTTTTATATAAAGGGTAAGTGCACATCAAGAAAACATCTCAACCCAGTGCTGCCCAAGCCCACAAGTCCAACATTAACCTTTATGTCCAACACCAATCCACAGTCTTCCTCCATCTCACAGAACACATGCAATGATGCCAACTTCAGGAGGAAAGTCGAATCAGTGAATGTGTAAGCATCTCAGCACTGGTAGGGATCTCCACATGACTGCTCCAGCAGCCAGGACTGCATCGGGGTAGGTCCATGTGGCTTCTCCCCAGGGATGTCTTGCAAGAAGTGAGCCTTGCCAGCTGAAGCAGGGAACTGGCTACGGCAGCTGCACCCTGGTCCGACCATCAGAGAGTGAGACCCAAGAACTAGAAAGGTGAAGCTCAGGGAGCCATTTATCTCTCTGCCCTTCAATTAACTGCACGTGCTTATCGGCCAAGTTGGTACAATAAAACCATCTCAATATAGTTTTATATATTTGTTGTCACAATAAAAAGATTTTAAAAGTATGTCATCACTAATCTCTGTATTTTGCTTTTTTATTGAATTAGAAAGGAATCTTAAGAAACAAAATAAAATATGCTGCAAATATAACCTTACCAAAGATAAAAACAAAGGGATTATGACCTTATATGATCTTTTATAGATATTAAGAAAAAGAACTTTACCTCCATTGAAAGTGACCTCTCCAAGGCAGTCTCTGGGTACTTTAGATGCACAACGTTTATGGCAGTTAAATTTGCAATCTAAGATAAACATATTAAATATTACAAAAATATTAATATGTACAAAATTTAGTCAATGTCTGATATAGAATCTTTAAATCATGTAGTAATTGTTATTATTAATGATGATAAAGTCTTCTACTAAGAACTTGGGTCTTGGCTTAAAGGGCTGGTCTCAAGTTCTGTCATCACATTTTGAAGCTGCTTAACCTTCTACAAGTCACTTGACCCTAGGCTGCCAGGTCTCAGCTACTCTACCTGTAAAACTAATTTAGGACCCTTTGTATAACATTAACACAAAGTAGCTGGCTTCATCATGTTTTCCACTTAACTGCTAATCCACATTTACCTTTCTATATCCCCCTTAAGGGTTTTCTAGGTTGATAATGTTATTTTAGATGTTATTCAATGTTATTTTAGATGTTAATTTTAAAGTATTAAGACCTGATGCATATGCAGAAGAGACGTGACTCGGCAAACACTTGCTGAGACTCCAATAAAGCCTGTTGTGAAAAGCTGAGCTTCTCAAGCATAAGGTGTCCTATTTTTACAGGTTCTCTGTAGCCTGGAAGAATCTTGGAGTTGATAGTCTTGTCAGATATGATTTGCTCAACACTACCTTAGAGCTCATTGGTTCTCAAAGTATAAACTTCATCTCACCTTACCCCCCACCCCCAGTAGAATCACCTGGGAGCTCATTAGAAATGCAAACTTTTGAGCCCTATCCCAGACCAACTATACCAGAAAATCTGGGAGGGCTCCAGAAAAAAGAAAAAAATGTTCTAATGAGCCCTGCAAGTGACACTAAAATCAAGACCTACTGCCGTCACAATTGTCTGATCACCTTGGAAATGCATCTACCAGCAATAACTGAGTAAAAAATAACTGAATCCAGACTTAAAATGATTCTTTTAACACCGTGAGTGAAAGAAATCTTGAGTGAAACAACATGCGTTGAAGGTCATTAAAAAAATAACCTTGGTCTATTATAAAATTTTGCATTGTAGGATATTATGTTTTTCAATGAGCTGCCATAAGGAAAATTCATACATGATATTTGTGCCTCTCTTAATAATTAAATTTTTTTTTTTACTCTAATGAGCTTTGAAAGTTGTGAAAATCACAAGGTTTCTTTTTTACCTTTTGAAATTGAAAGACAAATTTGTGATCAACCTGCAGCAAGTATGTAGGTTCCAATGGCAGGCATGCCTATTCCTTGTTGTCTTATACATGCTTTTACTTATTTATGTATGCATTCTTGTATATTAAATGTGCTTTCAAGTTTCTCTGAAGTATTACAGAATAAGTAGAAAATAAACAGCTGAATGAGTATAGGAATGAGTAGCTGTTCTTGGAATTGTGCATTTTCTCAATTACCTAATTATTTTTCTTTATTCCTCAGATTAATACATGAGTGAAAATGATAGTGATTTTACTTTTTACATATCAATTTATACTATACCAGTACAAGAATTACTGTACTGTAAATTATTTTTGATTGATAAATGAAATAGCTTTCCCATGCAAGAAATATAAGCTATCATTTAAAAAAACTAATATAAGCACAAAACATTCTACAAAAGCCTAAGAACTTAAACTAATGCCCACTGGTAAAGTTAACTGGCTTTATTTCAAAATTCATTAATATACATATTTCTTTCATTCCTCTACAAATATTGTCCTTTCCTGCATATGGTTTTAGAATGTTTTTCTTCTGTTCAGCAGAACAGCACTATTTTCTACCTTTATAAAGATCATTTGTTGGCTAGAATTTGTACATCTGTTAGTAATGTTCTCTTCTCAAAAATTTTTTAGTGGCTGCTCACCAAATACTTTCATGTTGATATTTTAAAGCATAATTTATATTTTAACTCATACCCCCAAAATAAGCTGTTGAAATACAATTTCAAAATTCAGTTATGCCCGATGGTTAAAACCCTGAAAACAAATGTACAACCGGATCACTGTTTTCACACGCTGTTCTATACTGTCAAGAAAGCTTTCTTTTCTTTTATACTTAAAATAAATTTTATATTTAATTAGCTTATTCTGGGCCACAGACAGGATTTATTATGGCAATACTCTCAAGTTTGATGTTCTATGTAGATAACTCAATTCCACATATACCACTATTACATAAAAGTACTATACCAAGAACAGTTGACAAAAGATGAAATAATCTTTTAGAAACATAAGAAAAAATTATTAAAAGAATATGCTTTATTAAGGGACATTTCTGGAACACTATGACAGTGTGTTGGGTTATTACTGGTACATTTCACTTAGTGGGCTGGGTTCCTTTTATAATTCCACGGGTTCTTCTACAATCCATTGCAATGTGGTTATTTTCCAGAATGGTAGTTTTTATAAGGATCTCCTAGCTTTGTAATTGAAACGAAATCTTGTGTCTGTGTGTGTACACGAATTTTCAATGAGAAGAAAGCATTCTATGTTCATGAAAGATTTAAAAGGCAAATAGCAGCTTAGTTGCTTCCAAGTTGTTCCTTACTGACAAATGCTGTGCACGAAAGTTAAGGAGCTATGTCTCATAAAATTCTATGTAATTTTAATCTTTGCATGCCTGTTTCCTCTCCTATAACAAGCCACTGCTATCAGCAAAAGTCTATTTCTCATTTAGTTGTGAAAATTAAGTTGTGCATGTGTTTTTTAAAGATGCTGTCTGACTAGGATAAACAATCTGGAAGAGAAAATAATGGGACTGAAGGTTGGGGGAGGGGGCATGGGAGAGGAGGAGGAGGTAAAGGAATTGGTGTTAACAAACCCAGGGACAAGGGAACAAGTGATCTACAATCAATGGCCAGGAATGTGTAGGAGGCCTGGTAGGGCTTGATCAGGGGCAAGGTAACTGAGAGGAATTACTGAAACCCAAATGATATGAGCATGATAGTGGGACAAGAAGAAAGTAAAATGAAATAGAGGAAAGAACTAGGAGGCAAAAGAAGAAAGAAAAAAAAGATGCTGCCTGACACATGGGGCATAAATTGCAGATATTAGTAGGGAACAACAAGCGATCCAAATTGGTGGGGAAATGGGTGTGGGAGACCTGGTAGGGCATGATCAAGGGGAATGTAACAAAGAGGAAGTGCTGAAATCCTGGTGGGGACTGAGCATGATAGTGGGACAGGA